GAATTATTTTATCATATGTCCTCAAATTCATATTGTACTCTTTTATCAATAACCAGAAAAGGCCCATCTGTTGTAAATATTAAAACACTTGTTATACCTATACTCATAAAAAATCAATTAAAAAATGAATTTCTATTTGCTTTAGCTTTGTATGGGGCCAAAGTGGAACCGAGTTTTATTTTTAGACAAATAATTTTTTATTTAATTCTATTTCACTTGATAATTAAGATACTCGTATACTAATGTGTCACTTAAGATTTAAAACCAATTTTATTGGCAATAATACAGTAGTGCACAACAAAAATTTACTAAAATTTATATAAAAAAAAATATATATATATATTAAGTACCCGAAATTAAGTTGGGTTGAGGAGTAGTGGCCTTGCATAACAAATCCCACTTACGCACATATAACAGATCGTTGTGATAATATGGATAAAATCGTTGTTTATAAGTATGTCAGACCAGTGGAGGCTTAACAGACCACTAAACAGAAATAAAGATTAAAACGGACGGCATATTGACAATGTTGAGAAGAACAAATGCAACTGAAACCTTACAAGTCAATGCACGAAGATATGTTTTAAATTATGAAGCGTAACAGCTCTGTCAGATCTGTGAGAAAAGGGACCTTATACATAAAAATTTTTATACAAGTTAAAGATAGACATGGGCACAATAGACCCGACGATCGCAGTGCTACATCCCCTAACAATAATAACGATAGACATTGGCACATAAGACGCTATAACTCCACATATGACATCTACTCGTCCAGATGTGTTTATAGTTTGATAGTACAACAAAAATGGATCTAAATGTATAGATTATATGCAATTGTCAATAGATGGCTTCACTGCAAATGCTGTTAATGCAGTGCAGCAAACAATACAGTTTATAAAATAATTAAAATATGTACATAATATAATTGAAGTTTATATTTTATTTATATACAATTTAATTTAAAAAAAAGTTTATACTTAATTTAAATTAAATAAATGAATTAAATATATTCATAATAATAGAAAATCAATAGAAATAATAACAATAGCAAAAAATAATAATAGAAAATTCTGAATTTAAAATTATTTACTTAAATATATATCTGATTTCATTCTAAGATTGCAAAGCAAGTTAAAATTAATTATCTTTTTAATGAGCAAATTAACAAAACTCCAAAGTACAAACGTACAAAGTCAAGTACGGCTTTGAGTGAGTCGACTAATGAACACTAACTCTGAGCTTTAAATTTGACAGGGCACCCTTGTTAAACCCTTGCTACTTGCAGTGTCAAAAAATTATTTAGGAACAATTAAATATAAGAAATAATTCCAATACCACTGATAATGGGTATTTCGCAATACTCGAAACAGCTGTTTGGTCAGCCAAAAATTCAAATAATTAAAAATAATTATAAAATGTTTGTTGTTGCAATTTCTCTACTATTTGATAAAAATCTTTTCCTATTGAAAACAATAATTTAAGTATTTAATTTAAGTATAATTTAAATATTAAGTATTTAGTTTCGTTCAAACAAACGTTAAGAATCAACTAGAAATATATATATAATTCTAATCTTTTTAATAAACTTTTATTATATCGATCTCAAATTAAATTCCTACAAGTTGTTTGTCTATAATTATATGAGACTGCTGTATTTATATGAATTTGTTTTAATACTAACTTAAAAAAATTTAATATTAGTAATAATTTTACGTAAATACTATGGTAAACCAATTATCCAATTAAAAAAAAAACAATGTCTAAATCGTTAATGATTAATTGTAGTATTAAATTGGTCATGAATAAATATATAATATTAAAGTGACTAATGAGATAAATATAATATATAATTAAAAATAAATACACTTTAAACTATGAACTATTTTAGACGATTAATAATAAAACTGGTATAAACTATTTCAAATATATTTGAGATAATTTAATTCAGTAAACCTTAATGAGTTCTGGTTAAGGGTGTGGTGCAGTACAAGTTTTTACTGCAATTAACGTTGTTTGCGTTTCGCTTAAATATATATAATCTTTTGAGTTGAAAATGGGTCCCGATATTTTTCAATGTCGTATTTCTGTTTTACACAAAATCATTTCTGTGTAATTTCATTCTTTACATACTCAATGTCGAAAGTATTCCCATTGACTGAATTCCCCAATGCGTTTGTTTCACGTATCATTAGCGAGCATTTTCATGAGCTTCTGGTAAAGACTTCTTAAATAAATATTTTACTAAGGGAATATGTGGGCGATGTGTTGTATATAAAAGAAGGTATTTATATATGTATGTTAGCTTATCATCACAACATTTATCGAAAATTTTATGGGAAATTAAGAGATGCTTAATTTATGGAATACAACTTCTAACGCTTGATTAAACTTCTTACTTGGAAGGTAGGGTTTTAAATTTGTTTTTAAAATTTTGTTTTTTAATTTGAAAAATAATTTATCATTTCATTGTAATAATTTTTAGTTAAATAATATTTAAGAAAAAATACAATGAAAGAGGAAATAAATATATAATTAATCTCGTAGAAATAATTATACTGACACTGAAGGTGTTTAAAATATGTAACCAAAATTATAATTGCAACAATCAGTTAAAAATATTGCAGCATTGGAAATATAGAACTTTATAGGTTGGAATCAAGATACCTTGTGATCAAAAAAGAACTTATTTACAGGAACTGTGATTCCCGCGTTTTGAGACCATAGAGGCCATAAGGTAAAAATTGCCACACGAAAATTTTTCGACTTCTTTGTATAGACGCCAAACAAAAACCAATCATACGATATGCGTTAAGCTTTGGCAGAATGTGTATAATAATGTTGCCAGCGTGAAAATAAAAAAAATTTACCGATTGGATAAGCGCGGGAATTCAAAAATAAGCCTCTCGTTCTTTTTTGATCAGAAAGTACTTCAAATAGAAATGTTTCAGAATATAGATATAGTCAAGTTGCAAATTCAAATAGAAATATTTCAACAGTTAAAATTTTGAATTTCATAGCTTGGAATCAAGATACTTCAAATAGATATATTTCAACAATTGAAATGATATTTTACTTTATGGTATGGAGTCAAGCTAGAATTATAATATTATCGTCAAACTGACAAAAAGTCATATACCTATACTCATAATTATGTCCAAAAAAGAAATATATTCTTCATTAAAATTAATTTTCAATAAAGAAGATTTCTGTTCTGAAATGTGCCAAAACCCGGGAATACTTTTTAGTATCACAATATATATATTATATAACTTATATATAATATAACATATAATTTGAAGTACGAACTATTAGAGATAATCCGCTACTCAGACAATTCAAACATAGTTCATATGTTAATTGTCTTTGCGAAAGTAGGTATATAGATATGTTAGAAAGTTTACTTAGTAAGCTAGAGAAACTGACCATCCTTTTCTCTCTTAGATTTTTTCTTTTTCTTCTTTATGCTAACTAACGTTTTGGTTTTTATGATATTATAACTTTACTTATTTGGGTGTTTCCCTCAAAGAACCAATTGCCAATTGATTCTATGAAACTGCTATATGAATATTGATCTAAACCGGCTCTCGATAGCAGTCTTAAACTTTAACGTGTGAGTATCTTATAACCAAGTTTCATATGTCAATGTCAAGCATTTGTAAATTTTCATTTTGCTATTTATTAAATAGACGACCTATTGAATAGAAACATTTTAATGTACATTGTGACCGAAAGGTTTTCGGAGGTTCTCATTTAAGATTCGCGCGCTGTATATTTTTCGATATTTTAAGTTTATGTAGTTTGGC